GCATAAGTTATGCCGATGACCACCAGCATCCTAGAAGTATTGCAGCTTCTTCCAACTTGTTTTGAAAAACTCAACATCTAATGGAAGATGTCATGAAAATATACACATCATCAAGTTTTTTTTCTAAAAACTGACGCATTTTGGCGCTTTGGGCAGGTTGCTTTGGTTCCGGTCACGATTGCATGCCTAACCTCAGCCAGCTGGCTTGGGCTGCCAATTTTCTTCGTTGCCATGTTCAAGTTCGGGTTTCCGGAGGTAACGACTGCTCTTAGTGCGCCATGGGTATTAAAAAATGCTGTTCATTATGTGGACCGATGGGGCATGTTTATCGACGGCGTTGGTTACGTCATCCATCACACAGGTGGCGCGATTGTTCTATGAATTAGAAAGATAAGTATCAATCATATTCTTGATGATGTTACAGCTCCACTTATAATCACTTAATTACCGAGCTAGAAGAAGTATAATCACTATCACCATATTACTGCACCTCCTAGAAATAATATCTACTACCCAGCATCATGTTCATGTTGGGTAGTCATCTTCATGATGCTTGATGTTCATGAGAAAAAGTAGTGGAATCCATTTCTATTTAAAGCGCGGCATTCAGTGGTCACTGATGCTGAACTGAAGCGACCCCCTTCAAAGCTCTCCCCTTTCCCTTCCTTTTCCCCTGTTCTCTAAAGGGGTCGCTTCTTCGATCTCAGTGACCAACCCCTATGACCATTGAAAGCTGAGCCTTAATCTATCGTCCGCATGAACTACATATCATGATCCTGGTCTACCTCCTTCATAAGAGTACGGCTCAGCATTGGGGCGTCTTATCCACCCAGTGTTGGCTATTTGCGCATTACCACTGGCGCTTCAGCATGCCGTTTCCTTCGTCAAATATATCGACCATGGCCATGGTGCCTACGTTTTTGCGCTGCTTGTGCTCGAGATCTGGTAGACATTAGACACTTTTTTACAAGTACATGTTGTTATCTCTTTAGCTTGTTGTTGTAGTAGAATTTAGCTGCCGCGTCGGAACCAGGCAGCTTTGAGTGAGTTGCTACGTGGTTCGAATGAATGAATGAATGAGTGAGTTTCTCTTTTTTTTTTTGTTTGATAGCGTTCATCGTTTTTTTTTGGGTACACCACGACTACTACTTCTTGAAGATGGAGTGGAGCCACCACCAACTCCACCTCCACCAAGGTACGAGTTCGAGTTTTTTTTCATCTTGCCTTTGGTGGATCACGTCGTTCCTTTGGCTGGGTTGTGCATGGTCACCATAGCGCATTGGCTGTGGACCTTCCGTATCGTTGGTTGCATGCTTTATGGCTGTCGAGGAGCTTGGACTTAATTTCTTTGTACTTGACTGAAGATAGAAGAACACAATGAGCAGGAGCACAACTTGCGAATTTTTTCCCAAGTCGTTAGTAATACTTCTGATGGTACATACTAGTAGGAGAATCTCGTTGGTTTTTCTTAGATAGATACCACGACCATAATACGAGATGATGAACCTCAACATCCCTCCTCTTCTAAGTGTTTGCAGAGATGTTTCTCACGCGTACATCCAGCGAAGAGGAGAATGATCTACGATCGCGACAACGGTCGAACATTCGCGCGTCTGTTTTCATGCAGGACATCGTTATGGAGGACCGGATCTTTGTTTACTCAATACGGGAGCCTGGTACTTCTAGTGCTGGTTTTTTAGTAGTAGTTAGCTGGTCCCAGTCCCTCAGCCTAGTGTACTGTGCCTCTTCACAGTTCGAGGCCAGGCAGGATCAAACTCAATCACCACTCCTTACACTTTCCGTAGAGGCGAACTGCTGTCCGAAGTTGACCATATATGGATAGCTCATTCGTCATTTGGTTGGATGGAGGAACAAGGGTGAATACTCATCTGGGCGGCCACCCCTTCAACACCTCTGAACCCCTACGACCCATCCTTGGTTTATTCTCCTGAAAATTTCATTGTGGACGAGTTGGAGGAGAAAACGTCACAACTACTGAAGAGATCCACGGACGATTTGAAAAAGTTAAGGGGCTTGAGAAAATCAATCTTCCCCCACGTATTAGTCCTGTTTTCAAGAGGGAACGGGACTCAGCATACTGACCAAGATTGATTTTTGAAAGGGCTAAAAGAGCGGGTCTCTTCGATGTTTTACGCTTCAAGGGCTGGCGCGGAGGCTCAAGCTGAACGAGGAACAGTCAAACGCGAAGAAAAGAATAGGTCTTTATGATCTACTTATATGTGATGTCACACTTCATCTCCTTCTCTATATCCATATCTTTATCTCTTAGAAGTACTATCTTTATCTTACTAGTAGCTCCAGCTCCTCCTTGTATCAACATTGGAAATCCAAATCTAATACAAGAGCAGTGCTGCTCTGCGCTCTTTTGCGGCCGTCGCTCCACGAGAGCATCTACGAGACAAACGGTGAAGAACGAGACGAATGTGCTGTTATGAGGACGAAACACTATCAGAGAAAAATTAGAAAATATTAGAAACTACCTGTTGTGTGTAATCTTTAGGTAGGACGGTTGTATACATGAGGACGACACGTTGAGGGCATAATTATATCGCCAAAGGGTACTAAGGCAACACTCTTCATTCATCAAGGTCAATATCACCAGAGGCCGCATCATGGCGCATGATTACTCGTCAGGTCAGGAGGTTAACGACAAAATACTTGTAGCTGGTCAATATCCCCTCTTCTAATACCAGCGTCTATATCGACTCTCTGCTATGGCGGTCTGCGTTCTACATTGGAGGCGAGGACAGGACACAAATCGGCTATGTTGAAGCAGGAGGAGACCACAAAGAGGGTATTAACCATCATCGCTCTTTCCCACCCAACACCAACAAGTAGTCGTGCTTCAGCTAGTGTTCAGTTGTGCTCATCTTCATTTGATATAATGCCAAAACCTCCTCCCACCAATATTAAAACATAACATCACAGGACAATGTGGTTGCTGCTGAGAAAGCCAGACTAGACGAGGCGGAGCAAACTGCTGACTAAGGCCAATTCATATTCAAGTGAAGTTTTATTTTCCCTATATGGTATAAGTACTTTCATTCTTAATATTTGTCCGCTCAGGGACCTGCGTCTAATTTCTTGCACAATATTTCTCAACCTTACCATTACCCAATTTTTTTTGCCGCTAGGTGTAAGCGGCGATGGGTAGTATTGGAGGTACTGCTTCCTTTTATTTTATTGTTGGTTCCAACATTGTTTCTACGTATGATCAGTTAGGACGGCCAGAGCCAGATGAGGGCGCTAAAAGTAGTGGTCCGTGCCTTCCTTTTCCTCTCTTCTAACCTGACAACTACGAGCTGTCGGATACGAGACGTGGCGACAAAGTAAGGCAACCTTTGGACGAAGAGCTTGCCGATACTACAGGAGCGGTTTTGCTCACGATCGATGATAGGGAAAACGACTCCAGGATGATTGGAAAGGTTAAGGGTAGCTTTTTGGCGTTTCTGATACCGTTTGTTTTAACTCCCCACAGGGGGAAGAGCATAACAAACGGGGAACAGAAACGCCAAAACTCTACCTCTAATAGGTAGTAGAAGTATCTAGTACGTGTACGTCGAGGATTCAGTAAGTTGCACAGTGAGCAGTAGTACAAGAATTAGGTGTATGAAGAACGAGAAGTTGCCGGGTAGTTTATTCCATTTTTATGCAGGAGAACTACTAGGTAGCGTGCTTTTTACGAAACATCAACAAGCAATAAATATAAGTGCTACAAGCAGTACGAGTCGAAATTTTGGGAGCAAAGGAGAGCAGTCGTGTTTAAGCGAGTCTAAGGGTGACAGACTAATGCAGCTGCCAGGGAGCAATATCAAAGTAGCACTGTAGCGGACCAGAGAGCAGTAGTACTAGTAAAGTTGTACCAAGTACTAGTTGTCATGTCATACAGCACCATCTTCCAGATGCTAATTTTTACATACCTCAACATCTTCAAAGAAGCAGATAATATCTTTCCAAGAAGTAGAAATATCAAGAAGCAAGTTGTACGATTTGTAGTACACACTAGAACACCAGATAGAACAACGAGAACCGCGTTGAGGACCTAGGACCTCCTACTTCTAGGACAGAGACAGTTAGTAAGCAACCAGAAGAACATCAACGAGTCGCAGATTTATCTTAGTCCTAATACGAACAATAAGAATAGGAATGTCTTTTTGTTTTCCTTTGATCACGTTCTCTTTCTGTTTCTTCGTGATAATCTTGTTTCGCCCTTCCACTTCAACCATGTTTAGTTTAGCCTTTCATCAAACACTTACTATGTACAGAGTTTAGTCATTTTTGCACTACAGTTTCCATGTTTTTTTGCATCGTGCGCTCGCATCAAATCCGTCAAACATGAATCTTCATCTTGTGTTGAGACACATGATTTGCAAAGTACTAGGCATTCGTTGACATACATATTTATGAACATACCCCGTGAACAAAGTGAATGGATACTAGTACACTCGTAGACTGGATAGATATTGTAAAGTAAGAGGTAAAAAAATGAGACGAATAGGAACATCTACACTGAACAAGCAGGTACAGGTTGCGCGAGCATCTTTTTTCCATGTTAGGTCTCGCACTCAGGAGTATTAGTTGGTATTGTAAGTGACATCATTCTTTGCCGCATTCATGATTTCCATACCAGTTCTTGAAAACCATGAAATTGAAAATGAAACAACAAAATAACTGGCATCTAGAACAACACACGTAATGTACAACATCCGCTTCCGACAAATAAATTTGTGCTGGTGTCGGTGTGAAGCGCAACATAGTACCAACAGGATGACCAGTCGTGAACCTGATAGGTTGGTCAAGAATCCTCTGTGACGCTGAAGGGAAGACGATGCGCATCCTGGTGAAGACACCGAAAGCGATAAGCGAGAGAGACCGTTCTTGAGTGAGCGGGAGAAAAAGGAACCAAAACGGAAAAAAAGGCAAATATGAAAGAAAGCTACAACTACTAGCAGCTACTTTTTTCGATTAGGAGGTTTGCACATTCACATACACTCAGGTAGTTGTAGTTCACGGGCTGGACACTGTTCTCTCGTATGTTTTATGGCTTATCTAAAGAAGTTTTTTCATTTTGCTTTTGCATGAGCCAGATTATAGAACCAACTTGTTGTTTAAGATATTTAAGATTCAGTAGCAGATTATGCACTTGATATCATGAGCATAATGATAATGTTGATCCTGCTTCATCACACATATTTATGATATTGAATTCTATAGGTATAGGCTTTTGTAGGGATACTAGGCTAATTGTTACCTTGGATTCGCCCCGATTCGGATCGATACACACGCGTATGGTTCTTGGATGATGCTAGTCCGTTTCTGATGTGACTGTGCTACCTCGACGGAAAGACGAACAACACAAGGTGAACAACATTCAGTTCTACCAGTTTGGAAGACAGCAGAACGAGAGACACTGAAAACGGGTTAGCATTGATCGTGTCGCAGCACGCCCAGTGGTCTTCTCAACAGCGACAACGTGCAGATTCTCGCTGTCCTTCTATTCTAGGGGGTTCATTGCTACCCCACGAGCTAATAATGGGTTACGGAACTACAACTACTACTCCGACCCACTACTAATCGACCCGCTAGTGGAGCTAGGAGGCTTGCAGGCTGTTGCGCGGATTGAGATCCTACGATCTGCGCATCCCCCCGTTGTTTTTCTATTGGGCCACCCTCTTTATTACGAGCCATTGATTCTTGTGTCGAAGGCGATTTCCTATTGGACCACCTCGATTTTCTTTACTTAAGGCTTGCTCTAATCCATCTTCTGAAGCGTCCTGAGTAGGCTTTTATTCAAGGGAAAAAGGGGAGGGGATGCTTTTCAGGAAGATGCATTAGGGTGAGCTCTAAAAGTTACTCATCGTGTTTGCGTCGAAGTCGATCCATGAAGATGGAGGAGCACCAAGAGACGGAGGTGTTGCACGCGCCTCCCATGTCCGCGATTGGAAGGAGTATGGATTCGAACGCGAGCATGGACGCCTTTTTAGAAGCATTAGCAATCGGCGTTCCGACACCAACGACATCCTCGAAAGAGGCAGTATCGACAACCACCTCGACGACAAATAGCATGGTACTTGATGTATCTCATTTCATTTATGATCATGTTTATTTTTGTGCAGTCGTTTGATCATGTCTAGTAGATAACATGAACTAGTAGGTTGCAACGAACAGCGGCATCAGCGACCCGCCATTAGGGGACACCAGCACGGCGGAAACGAAAGAGCAGCAACTCATGAAGGAGCTCGCTCTGAGCGCGGTTGGCATTAACGGAAATAATCAACATCATAGTGGAAATCCTCCAAGTATGTTCATCAATAGCATTCCTATTTCTGGTATTACTTCTAGTTCTCTTGGTGCCGGGGGCGCTACTATAGAACAACTAGTGAACAATAACAGCAACAACAACAACAACTCTCGAGCAGGAGCACCAGGTCCAGGTGGTTCGACATCGCCAGAACTACTTGCGAGTGCCAGAAGTAAGGCGGGTTCGGTGGTCAAGTCACCAACGGACCAGCGCGCGAGTTCGGCAATAGCACAACTAGATTCTTTGGTGAAAGTAGATCACGATAATATCAACAGAAGTGGGGGACAAGTAGTACAAGGCAGAACAAGTACAACGATGTTAAAGACGAATGGAGGCGCATCAAATAAAACGTCGAAGCGTGCCTCGCCTGCCTCTTCAGCAGCGTCGTCGAAGCGAGGGGTCGGAAAGAATCCCTATCGTGATGCTGCAGAGGATGTGGTGCCGCGTGCTGAGGGTGGAGTAACGTCATCTTCCGGCGGATTGCCTGCTGATAGTACCGGCAAGGCTGCTGGTCCCACATTGGGCAGTAATACATTAGCAACAGTTGCTGAAGATAGCACAAGCACGACAGCGACCGCTAATACAAATAATACATCAATGAAAGTTATTAATGAAGGAGCAAATGGAAGTGGTACTTCTAACCACGCATCTACTTCCAGTGCTGTCAAGAATCTAGCGGCTCTCCACCTGACACAAGCAATGGCAAGCAAGTCTTCGTCGGCATCTTCATCAAAATCTAACCACGAGAACAAAAGGCTCAAGGGTTTCACGGAATCTGGCTCATCATTTATGACTTGGTAGTTGACCGTCACCTACAGCTACACCTGGTCGCTCTAAGAGGAATAGACTAGTTTGAAACTATGACTATCAGGAGTATCAAGTATTAAGGGTAGGTTAAAGGTGCTTTTGTTAGACCGTTTGTTATGGCTCTCTCCCTTAGGTGGGGACAGCCATAAGAAGCGGGATAAACGAGCACCAAAAGCCTACCTCTAAAAGTAGTTTAAGTTTTAGTTACTTACTTACTCGCACATAGAAGTAATCGAAAGACGGTTTCTTCGATTTATCCTCGTCGCCGTTCTATCCTTTTCTCCTCCTACTGAAACATTAATAGATCCTGTAGTCTTCCACCTATCGCTATCCTGCATTATCCTCTTTATCCTTAGACCCCGCCTTCCCCGTCAACCCTGTAGTCTTCCTATTCCTTCTTCCCTGTGAACCCTGTGGTCTTTCTTCTTCATCCAAACGAGTAGCGACGCAGGACAGCCAAGATTGGCAGCGGATTTTTTTCAAGTAAACCAGAAGTTGCTAGACTCAGCGCCAGCGAACATATCTATCGAATTGCGAAATGCACTGGCTGACATGGATGCGCTCAGTAGTCGAGAACAAAAGAGACGATTGCGTGACATGATCCAGAAACGGGAGAAAGGTTTTTTTCTTGTTCGTCCTTATGTTTTCTTTTAAACCCCATCAAAATCAAATACATCAATGATAATCAGTATCAGGATCGATAATCTGGCGTAGCGCGCGATAGTAAAAAACCACTAAGATTATGAGCAAGATTGATGTAGCGCTGTTTCATTCATTCCATTTCGATTTCCATCGACGTAGAAATTACGTGATATCTATAGTGCCTTACCTTTACGCGCTCCATCTTTCAGGTGAGCTCCTGCGAGCAGCACTGCAGCCAATAGTTATGCACGCGACAAGAACAAACGCTGGCGTGGTTGGGATTAACAACGAAATTACCAGCTTTACCGATAAGAAAGGCAACGTCCGTTACATTGGTCGCATAAAGAGCTATGCGAAAGATAAAGGGTATTCAAATGTACAACTTCTAGTATCACAATTACTTGGTTTTGTTTAGCACTTTCTGGTGCTGTCACGTAATTTTGTTCTTCATCATTATATATCAGTATGATCTAGAAGATCAACAGCATCGTCTTGAAGATTCATCCCCTGCTGCAAAGCAGATCAATATGTATGTTTTCTCCCGCCACTATGATTGGCATCTTCTGGAGTTACGATAAAGGCGCTTCGTCGAGCTGTTCCAGACCATGATGACTGCTCTCTCATCTTCACACATCCAGAAACCAATCGACAACTTGCTCAGGAATAACAGCTACGGGTTCGTCGAGTGCCCAGAAATACAGAAGGAGTACGGCGGCGACGCATTTTTGCGGAAAGATCAATACCTCGACTGCTTTGAAGTGGGTGATAAGGTACTTGCCTCTATGACTTCTGATGTAATGATTTTGAATGACGCTAAACAAATTTTTCATGTCTAGCTGGTGCTGGTTCTGAATGAAATCGTCCGCTTCTAGGAAATCTGAGACACCCTGCCATTCATCTCCGAATCATCTTTTTCACGTTATTTCCAGGTCTCATTTTTGCTGGACTTGAGTAAGGAGGGGAAGCCACAGGCGATAGAATTGATGCCACCCGATGGCAAGGAGACGCCAGTTTTTAAGGATGGTGACCAAAGTTTTTACTAAGTCATATTCCACTGCACCAAACATGGAGGACATGATGCTTTAGGATGCCAACGAATTGAACAGAACGTCAGTTGTGAGATTGTCTTCGTCTAATATGTGGCTCGATTCTCTTAGACGCAGAGACGAGGAGTACAGCAGTAACAATATGCGGCCTGGCGGTTGGGGCAGGCCGCACTTTCGAAATGAGTCTCCCGCGGGTCTCAAGAGGGGCAAGGAGCATGGTATTTGATACTGAAAAATCATAATGAGATGATACCTGATCCGGAGAAAGATGAGCAAGAGCAAATAACACGGGATAGAATTAGAAGAAAAGTTACACCTCTGTATGTTAAAGGATGATCATGTTCATAGTACTGGTACTCAACTTATAGCTTACGGCCTTCCATGTCCGGATCCGACGTACGAAAAGCGCAGAAGGTTTGAACGGGGAGGACCGTATATGCGCGATGCAGGACTTTACTTACGACAACTGAAAGAGGTTGAGATATCCCCACGTAGTTACTTAGACTAATCTTTGATTAATCACTGTCTAGTCCACTCACAATATCCGATATCCTCACCTAGTTCTATTTTCTATGAAAGAGATGTCCTCACCTATGAAAGAGGTGAATCTCAGAGATAGACTCACCTAGTTCTATTTTCTATGAAACTTCTTAGATCTACTACTTCGTCTTCAACACTACATCTTGCTACTTGGTAGTTGGATTTATGATGGACATGGAGAGAAATGAGAGAAAGTTTATAAGTTGGACTTTTCACTATCAATAAGTTGGAGAGAAAGTATTAAGTATGATGCGTCTAGCTGGAGGTAGAGGTAGAAGACATCAGATAACAAGGCAGTTCTAATTTAAGGACGGGATTGGAGCGATAGAGGATGGGGATCAACCAATGGAGGACCAACCAATGGTAAAGTTAAAGATAATGATGTGTACAAGTACTTAATACTATATCTTCTATAACTCTTTATCATGATCTTCAAGTTTATTACAAGGACTCACTACAACATCAAGGTCAATTACTCACGAGCACATGAGGATCATGATGTAACACTCTTACCTTAGGAACTGGATCCAGTGTCGCTTCTTCATCGAGTGTAGGTGTAGGAACACACAAACTTCCTATTAAACCCAAAACACCACCAGCTGTTCAGGAAGGTCCCTGGAGCCCTTACATCACCGTCCTTAGCGACAGATGGTAAGGGCGCCGCGAGCGTGTAACGTGCGAGACGATAGGGTCACGCGCGACAATAATAATAATAATAATGATAATCAACGAACACTCTTACCTTAGGAACTGGATCCAGTGTCGCTTCTTCATCGAGTACGCTCCCTCCACCACCGCGTGTAATGCCGAATCCATTTGGTCCCCCGGTTCCGTCTGGGACTGGGACCAGCGTTGGCGACCTTACTGCGGCACTGCTAGCTTCGAATCCAGTGCTTCAGACCGCGGCGCTTCTCCATGCGGCCTCGAATTTGACTGGTATATTGAGTTATGTATCAGCCTCGTATGAGAATGAGTCCCGCCGTTCAGTTCGCCGTAAGGTGCCGCGGGGTAATTAAATGGAACTATAGCGGGAAATTGTAGGCCCAGGTCCCAAAAAAATGAATGCCGCCGCGCTGACCAGGATGAGCGAATGAATGAATGAATGAGTCGTGCTGTGTGTTAATTGTTTCTGTTCCTCCCTAGTATTAGTAAGAATCGTATCTGTACAACTAGTAACTATTTCCGCGATGATGTAAACGACGTTGTCCGAAAATATCCACATTCGGCACACAAGAAATTCATACCGACGTCACCAGGTGCCCCATCACCAAGTCCCACAGGGGGTGGTTCGACAGCGACAGGTGCGACCGGAAGTCACTCGTCTTGGGGAGGCGCAACGCAAGCACTCGGCTATCCGATCGGATATCAGTCAAAGCGGACTTCATTATGCCACCATGTAACATGAGAACATGTAACAAGTTTTGTTGACCCGCAAATAGATGATCTTCAATTTATCACTGACCAGGCATTTCGACGACATTCAAAGGAACTTGAGTATGTCCTGGCCTACTTGCACGGACACAAATTGAAAATGATATGTGAACAGGCCAACGCCTAAACCACTAAGCCAACAGTTTCCCAGACTCATTGCAGCTCTAACTTCTTCAGACATGAATGGCAGGAATCAGGACCAGCTTGGAGACGCGCTGCGTCAACTCTTAGGCGGAGCCCCCAGCTCCTCGAGTTCGGCGACTCTCTCGACTCATGCAACCTCGGCATCCTCTTCGTCCGGCGGGGCATTGTCCGCGTTATTGGGTACTAATGCCTCCTTGAGTCCTTCAATGGCAGGACACGGTGCTGGGTCATCAGGCTCACTCGGTGGACCAGGCTCTTCTTCTGCAGCCATGCTAGGACTCGGAGGCGTGGCGAATACAGCTGCAGGAGTGCGTGATCAGCAGTTTCTGAATGAGATCTTCGGAGCTGCTGGCTTGTCAACGTCTACGAACCAAACTAATGTTGGTTCTACACCTGCAGCAGCAGCATCATCAACGAGTTTGTTTGGAGATGGAGAGTTTAGTCAAGAGGACTGGACATCCTTTCTTCAGTACCTTTCGGTAGATCCTACAACTGGAGGCCCAAATGTTCTCAACGCTGGAGGCCCAAATGTTTAGGAGCACAATCTTCAGCTGCTCTGGCGTCTTCGTCTTTACGAGAAAACTATTCGTATCTACTATTCGATGTTGAGGAGCTGGCTGCGACGGCGAACTCGAACCACCGCAATGTTGGACGAGGCGTGCGGTATGGGTATCGTACCCCTCGACGCAAGCTCTCAAGGCAGATTGTGTAGGCCTACATTCGTCTTACTAATGAAGCCAGCAGGTATTCAACGTAGAAATCAATGGGTAAACCTCCCATATCTCTAACAAGAAATCGAGGCAATATTGAGGTCTAACTATTATCCACCTTGTTCATCAAAGTCAATTGAATATTTCATCTGGTTACCAAAATCTTTCGTTTTTTTTTGACGATCAGTGAGACACAATCCTCAAACCTAAGACCATATTTAGTCCCACATCATCGGCTTATCAGATGCAGATCTCTTCAAGAAGCATAAATTTCGATTCTAATATTTTCATCACATTTTCTTTCATTCTAGTCGCGAATCCTTATCTATCAATAAATGAACCTTGATCTTTCCCGTAGCCTTTTGCATCGATTCGCTGCCCATTAGAGAAGTTTTTGTCTCACGATCACACCTGCTTCCACGATACTACTTAGTTTTAACCATGGTTCTCATTAAAAATTTCTTCGCGTTTGCATTTCTTTTTTCTGCCACCGCTATGGCTAAAAAGTGCAAAAAAAATACATTTCTGGAGGTGCAATGTCGCCCAATTTTCTGCCGAAAGAAGCAGTTTGTAATAAAGTAGTATGTGTATGTAGTTGGTGCTTATATTTCTGCAATTCTAGTTAGTAGAGTTAGTGTTGGAGTTGCTGGCAACATTGCCATGATTATGAATTTAAAGTAAACCGATTCTTGCCTACTTGTTTTTCTGGATCGTGCGAGGTCACAGGGCGCGTAAAAATATATTTCTGCAAAAAAGAAGTCTCTCTCTATTTAGTTTATCATAAAATGTGGTCGTCTCTTCTCTTCTTTTTTGATTTTGGGTAACAAACTAATGCATCAAACTCCTCAAATGACTTTGATATTCAACGCAGAAACAATGCAAACTTAATTTAGAGTCAGGTCGTCCTCTTAGCTACGAAAAAGAATGTAAATCGATGATTCATGATTTGCTTAACTACCTTCATCCTTCATCATAAAAAAATCGTTGAGCAGCCTTTACAACTCGTGTCGTAATTTTTTTAATCGTTTTGTTTTGTGTCAATAGTATTGCTTCATTTTGGGGCTCTCCTGCAGTAGTTTTGCAAGGTCAACATTTCTAACGATCTCATCTGAATCTGAATCATTGAGGCCCAGAGACAGTCGATGATGCAACTACTAGAACATCGATTTTTACTGACTCGGATTTCACGTCGCTCGTCGTGGTCATCAGATTTCATTGGTATTTTCCTGATGGTGTCATGACTGAGATGACAAATCTCCATCTCCTTTGACATCTCGGGATCGGTATAGTATCCTTCTGGACTTTGAAGAAATTACGGAAATAAAAGCAACCTACAAGTCTAATAGTGAAGAGAGAGAGAGAGAGTCCTCTCGGTCGACTGGCGCGCGCTGCTTGTTGTTGAGAGAATCGCCGTTCTTGCTCCAGCATTATATGAATTCAAGTGATTGAAAAAACTCTGTCGTTGTGTGAAAATTGAGAGGAAAACTGGATGTGAATCCGTTTAGGAAAAAATCTCGTAGGACTCCCTGTTGCTGTTCTAGTAAAGAATATGCGCAGTAGTAGTTTTAAATATGGTAGATGAATACTTCAAAACCAAAGGCCATGTGCTATACTAAACGAATTTGATACACAGAAGTCTACCGGAGGTCGCTGCAGCAGCTATCCTAGAATCTTTTTTGGAGGTGAGTGGACGTGGAAGGAATAGCGGATGCTCCCATCCTTTTTCCGGTGTAAACGATTGAACTGATAACCCGATATTCGCAATTATAGCGAGCGAAGAAAAAATACTTTTCCTATAGCAGCGTATAGCAACCCTGAAGCAGTCCAACCGCAGAAACTTTCACAAGGAAGAGAAAATGGTAGTGCCACGTGGATCGCCCGCAAAGACTGCCTTGTCGCTGGCCGATACCAGTCCTGCAAAGCATGGTGAGAGCATCGACATCACCTTTTCCGGCGCAGCGATTTCCGCAGGGGCATCCGCGGTATCCCATATTCAGTTTTCATTTGTGACTCACTACACTGTCTCTGTGTCGCCTCTACGACCTCTTCCTATTTTAATATTATGAATTTTGCATTTGCAGAGTCTCTCATTGTCTTTGTCAGGTTCCCGGTAGCAACTATTGCGATGCCGAGGATCCTTTTGGCCTATCTCCGAGTGTGCAAAAAGGATCAAGCGCTTCGGTCATCCCACGTTTAGCCCTCGAGGTGAAGCAGAAGCATGGCCACGGTCATCTTGGCAATTATCCGCAAGGTTCTTCAACATGTAGAACATCTTTCAGCACCACGACGGGCACGACGACGGCCGCCACATCTTCAGTATGCACTTCGGCGAATAGTACAAGTCGCGGAAGAACGGCGTCATCGTCTGAGCCAAGCGGACCACGAGGTCAACAAGTAGCAACAGTCGAAGTTGATGTAGTCGTGGAGCCGCCAGATACGGCTCGTTTCGGCTGCGGGGACCGAGATGCGGAGGAAGATGACGAATTCTGCATCCAAAACAGGAATGTCCGAGACATGACCGACGAATCTGAGGAGAACTCTGCCTCGTCACCGCTCTGGTCGTCGTCGTATGATGACCACTCAGCGCGAGAAGAACGTGGCAGAGCAAGCAGGTCGAGCAGTACGACCGAAGACATTAAAGTTAAACTTCTCCAAGGTACAACTACTGGAGTTCGTGTTCGCGAAGGTGACGAAGACGACGATGCTCCTGCTCGTGCACCATCTATGAATAAGAGTAGCTTCATAAGCAAGGGTCGGAATAGTATCATGATAGCGCAGGAGGATCATGTCGATGCGACCTCTCTTCAACAGCAACAATCCTCGATAGCTGCATCAGATAATTCTGTTGAGGACGAGAAGCATTGTGGTGACGCGAATAGAAGCACATCCCGAGTTCGCAGCCTTGTCGCGAAGTTTAGTGGAGTTCGAAACAGTCCATTGAAACGCTTGAGTCCAGTAAAAATGGCAACTCTCGGAACAGAACGAAGAAAGTGGCAAGATCACTATCTTCTCCGTGTCAAACAGGATAAAAACAGCACGGCTGGTACAAGAACTGCTGATCCTCCTACTTTTCTTGAACGAGAGGACGACGACGTTGCGGATCATTCAGATTCTGCAGTAATCGCTACGACTAGGAGACTTATCGCAGGTACTCAGTCGGCAGAATTCCCACCAGGGTTTTTCGCGAGAGGTGGGAGAGACGAGGAGAGCGGCAGAGGATCTAAAAGTGAGGTCCAGGAGCCCTCAGACTTTGGTTTAGACGATGACGGCGTTGGGCAAGCAGGAGAACAAGCATCAGAGGAGGCCGCGAACGATGCTGGACGCGAAGTTGCGCAGTGCGTTAGTAACTACATCAGTGATGATCGAACGAGCATCATCAGAAATAGTTTGAAGCTGATCTGCGACCTCCGGGAGAAAATTAAAGGGACGAGTGAGGCTGGTGCGTCGACAGCGTTGCTCGGAGGCGCAACTACTTCAAAGGAATCACGAACAGGCGCAACAGACATGTCGACGATTGCGAACAATAAATCTGCTTCTGCAAATAGTAATAGTACAACTTTTGCTACTGCTTCTTGTCCTACTACTTCTTCTACAAGTTGTACAACTACAAGAACCTCTCGAGGTCGAAAGCAACGAGCGTGGACAACAACTGCACTGGAGGAGGAAGTGTCTTCGACGAGCGCCACAGCACGAGCGTGCGGTAAGACGAAGCACATCTCTACCTCCGTTTTAGAACGTGGAGCAGAGGTTTTAGACCGCAAACAGAAACTGCAAAATCCGAGACAGAATCAAGGTGGAGAAGCAGGAGGAGGTACTTGTTCAACCCCAACCGGAGGAGCTGGCTCGAATGTTTCGAGTTCGATGCTCAGGGAGAATAAGCAGGGCAGCAAAAGCACCACTGTAGAAGTGTCGGGTCACGCTAGCGTTCCCGTGACAGGACATCAAGCACGAACAGTGCGTGCAGCATCCACGAGGTTGACGCCGAACAAAGCTCCAGGAGGACGCAAGAAGAAGTTTTCGCCGACGAAGAGGAGTCCAAATAAGAAGGAAAAGTACAGTCCGCACAAGAAGCTAGCGGCAGGAGCCTCTTCTCCGGCTAAGACACCGGGAAGTCGATCATCGAGACGTAAGAATCCATTCTTAGTGCCGGCTTCCTCGCGCGCGTCCGGAACCGGATCACTGGACACCTCCTTTTCTGCAGGTAACCTTCAAGAGCACGGTGGGCAAAGCTCAGAGCAGCCATCTGCATCTTCTGCAGCTATTGTTAACGAGCCTATTCCATTGGCATCCGAGCAAGAGGGTGGTAGCAGCAGTAGCAGTTCTTCGTCAGGCGCAAGCAATAAGTTGTCCATGACCTTACGAAACCTGCATACGGAGATGCAGGGTCGCGTTCGGTCTATGCTCGGTCAATATTCGCCGAAACGAGTATCTCCAAAGAAGAACGGAAAATCGCCGTGGAGAAAGCGTGGAGCTGCTTCGAGACTAGCAGGTCAGAAAAACAGTAATTGTTCGGCGTCAACTACACCTAGTACGAGTTGTAAGAGTAACCATTACAACGAGCGAACCTCCGGAACAGGAACGCCAAAGATGATAAGTGTGCCCGATAAGAGCGTACTTGCAGAGCGCGCTGATGGCGACAACAACCATGGGGAGTCCGCTCTTGGAAGATTAGGTGCAGATGTGGGCGGGAACGACGGCGGCGTCAATACCAGAATGGCCCAAGAAGCAGATAAAGGCGAAGCAGATAATGGCCCCTCGGTCGGCGGGTCACATCTAGGCCCCGGCAAAAGCTGCGCTCTAGCGCGCAACTGCAGTGCGAGACGATCTTCATCAAAAAAAGGGGAGAAAAGGCCTGCAGCATCTCATCAGGCAGAGCCAGAAGCTGAAAATCCTAGTGAGACAACGAGGACAGCACCCTCAAAAGCTGCAAGCAAGACAAGTATGATGAGTATTGACTTTGACGACCCTGAAATCGAGAAGACAGCTGGTGACGTGCCAGAATCTTCGTCTTCTTCGAAAAGAACTTCATCCGCTGCTTTGCCGCAGACCAACGTGTTGTTAGGGACACCTCGGGAGTACTTCCGGCCACGAGAATATCGACCTGTCCTAGAGCAGAGGAAGCGGCTTTCTGAGGAGTTTTCTTATGGCTCTCCCGAGTCAAAGGCCGTTTCTCCGGACCTCATCGCAGACGATTCCAAACTCTCGTCAAAGGATGCCGTGTATGAAGATGCTGACGAAAATTCTCACGCTTTTGGCGATAAGGATGGGGATACCGACTCTACTTCTAGCAAAGGACGATTGAGCGCACCAGGTGCTGAGAGTAGTGCAAATAGAAGAAGTACTCCTACTTCACTGAGAAATCGTAGGGATCATAAGTTAGAACAACAACAAGTAGGACTAGGAGCAGCAGATGAAAGAGGACGTAGTAGTGATGGTGGTGCTGGTGGGGACCACAGCGAAAAGATGGAAGGTCATACCCGCGAAGAGGATACTCGTCATGATCGGGAAGGACCAAGAGTCATGTCCTCTCAAAGCAGAAGGTTTGCTCGTTCTGTGAGCAGGAGAAGAGAGGACAGCACTACAGGAGGCGGGCATGATGAAACGTGGTTAAGCGTAAACAGCGAAGCGGATGAGAGTTTGGAGGCACGGTCGCTCTCACGTCCAAGAACAGCAGCCAACCGATCGCATCCGAGCTCGATCACGATACGAAAGCATAGTCAGGTTGTCTCCGGAGACGCGAAGTTTTTCATGGACCAGGATTGTAAGGACAGAGTAGATGACAATGGAGGAGATAACAATAAGCAGGTCGTACACGTACAGGACAATGTTGACGCTAGTGATGCAAAAGTAACCTCTTCACGACAGCGAGAGCGAACACCAGTGCGAGCGTTGCAAGAGTTCTGGAATAGTCGGGTTCAGGAAATCTCCGAGCAGCAAATGGCGGATCGCTCCAGGCAGCGCGATCTCGTGCAGCGGGGGAAAGAACGCGCATCCTCGGTTTTGGAGCAAATCGAGCAACGACGGTCGCAATCAAGCCGAGCGCGCAACTCGACAGCAGACGATATAGACGATGAGTTGACGCCGGCGGCGAATGAGAATAGACAGTCTGCGGAATGGAAATTCGGTATGAGCAAACGAGGCGCCGGAAAAGACGACAGTAGAGCCTCCGTGCAGGAAGCGCAAAGTACAAGGGAGAGCGCGGCGGCCCCAAGCAGTCAGAAACAAGGAGTGCGCGGCAGCGCAACGTCGCAGACGAGAGGAGGTGAACCCGACAATAAGACCGCTTCGGGCGCGACGGCGCGAGACTCAACAAGGGCGCTTTCATCTCGCCCTAAAACTGCAGTCATCAATGGCGAATCGGCATCGATGTCATCGAGGCCTTCCAGTCGCGTCGTCTCTTCCAATAAGGCTGGCGGAAGGGCAAGTCCTCAGGAGATGCCACGTAGGTCGAAATCGGCAGTGCTACAGGAGCCGGTCCTTCACACATCGAATTCAAGAGCTGGAGCGCCAAGATTCGGTCACAGCATGCACCAGGAGGGTGCACAGAGTGCAAAAGCGGCGACTAGTGCGGGCCCTCGAGGACATGTCAGCAAGAACAAGACCGTGACGACTACACCTGCGGCATCCACTTCATCTGCAGGTGGCTCGACATCAACCGGCTCCTTCCATCGCTCAGTGACGAAGGGGGAGTCGGCTTCCGGTGTGTCTTATTCTAATAGTACTCCAGCTACTTCATCTTCGACATATGGGCGTTCAGCATCAACGAAGCCTGTGGTGCAGCAGCCATCTTCGAGGACCAGAGGGGCTCAAAGCGGATCATCTTCTGGGACAGGCACGACGTCAGTGAAAACGAAAAAGTTTGCGCCACTGCAACCGAGTAGCAGATCGCGGTCTCGGACACCCACAGGGGCTTCAGCGACTGGTAGTGCTAGTTCCTCTTCTGCTAGCGTGGCTATGGTCAACACTGGATCAAGTGCAGGTCCCCCCGGACAGCGTTCTGTCATGGCACCCGGGTCGTCAAAAGTGCAATTACAGCCAGGAAGTCGAACAGTCGCTGCGCCTGGTCCGCCGGGTGCCAGAAATAGTGTTCCGGTTGCGGTCGAAAGCGCAGGGACGCCAAGACCAACGCCAGAATTCGTTACGCGAGGTTCCATGGCCGAAGCCTCGTCGGTAGCCACGGCCTCACCTGCTACGCTGGTGACGACTATTCGTTCTGAAGGCTGCGTCTCTTTTAGCGACAGGCAGCGACAAGACCCGTCTCGGACACAGCCGTCCTCAGAGGTTAGTTCGTCGGCAAACACCACGCAGATCCTCGCCTCCTGTCATGCTTCTCCAGTGCAGGAGCAGCCGCATCGACCTGTTGCCGGCGAGGTGGCGATAGCATCATTGACCTCCCAATCACAGAAAGGTGGAGCTCAGCCACGCCAGGAGGAAGATGTCGGAATTTCGAATCTTCCCTACCGCCCGATAAGCCCGACGGCGAACCAGAACTACTCGTCCGGGGATGGGTCAGCATCTTCGTCTCGAGCAGTTATGAATTTCCCTAGCACAAATACTTCCGCGGTCTCGCCTGGCACGCAGCATGCAGGTACTGCTAGTGCAGCTTCCCCAGCCGGAACGACGGCAGCACCAGTCGTGGCGACGCGGATTGTCAGCGGAACCGCTGCAGCGCGTGCTTTTGACCAATCGACGGCTATGCCTCCCGCTTTTACGAGCTCATCATCCGTTGGAGGCAGGTTCGTCGCACCGATGAAGTCGCCGGGGACAATCGTTGGGAGCGCGCCGTCGCCGTTGATGCCAACGGAGACTCGACGTGAGGGCCACAGAAGTGTCGGTGCAGCGCCGTTGTCTCAACGTCATACGGCTTCGATGGCGATGCAACAGGGTGCTTTATCTGCAGCGGGAGGTACACATTCGTCTAAATTGTGGTCCCTGTAATTCTGTACTACTACTTGTTTTTCTTGGGTGTGTGCGTATATCTGACATGTCGTGAATCTGTGGAAATGTTTCTCACTGCTCCTACGAGGCGTTGCTTGTTACTGGTCTCTTCACACATTCAAATTCAAACCTTTTTTTCTCAGCTGCTACGGCACCGACCTTCTGCCCTGCGCCTCGAATCGCGGTACCTCAACTGACGTCCGCGTTCCAGCTTGGATCTGGCTATAGCTCAGTCCCTGCCTTCTGCAGTGCTCCGCAACTGTTCGCAGCGTCCACCTCCTCCTCGTCTTCGCTCCTTCAACCGACTCCGCTCGGCCGTTCACCGGCGACCATGCAGCGCTCTGCAACGCCTACTTCCGGCTTGATCCACCCAGGTGACAGAGATGCTAGATCAACTCCCTTCATAGGAGGCGCAGCTTTTTCCGCAGGGACAACAAACACATCGTCTTCGTCTTCGACTTCTAGTACTACTGGTGGAACGACATCAACGATTTTGAGTTACAAGTCGCCTCAAGTGATACAACACCAGCAGCTGAATTACGGTCTCCCTTCGTTGCAGCACCAAGCAACTACTTCTTGTAGGAGTTCGGGAGCTCCTTCTCCCTTGATATCACCATTGCAACCACGCACGCCTCAGCAAACGCAACGCTTCGAGGGCGCGAACAACTTCACCTTGAAATGTCCACAAAGTCCGCCAAAGCAAAGTGGTAACGCAGGGGCCACTACTTCAGCTAGTAGTACTGGTCCGCGTCCGCCTCCGCCGTCTTCCACTATGGTTGGGTCCGCAGCGAGCTCCACAGGTGGAGGCCCTCGTGTTTCCACCAACAGTTCATCTTCGACATCTAAAACCACTATTAGCACCTCCAAAAGCAATAGCAAAGTCGAAAATGCCAGCATGAACATTGGCCATGGCTTCTCAACGAGCAGTAATGCGACAACTAGAAGTGTCACTCCGCCAGCTCCAGGGAGAAGCCTGCAACAACATATTCAGCATGGCATTCGACAGAGCACAGCTTTGATGAAAAACACACCCACCATTACACCAATCGCGAACACGAAGAGTCCTCTTGTAACACCTGCTAAAAAATCTTCTTCAGCGCTCCTTCCCGGCGCAAGAGGTGTAGTAGCAGGTTCTTCGAGTGCATCAGCATCTTCACAACATCAAGCTACGTTCTCGAAGCAAGCTAGTGCATCAGCATCTTCACAACATCAAGCTGCGTTCTCTGGTGTATTTCCAAGTCCAACCGAGAGCTCGATTCAGATCGAGATTCAAGGTGCTCAATCTTCGCCGAGTGGCGAAGGCTCCTCGTCGAATAGTGCAAGCGTGTCTGCGTCCGTGCCGACCCCTGGCGTGGACGCACTTGCAAACGCACGGCTCGACGGCCTCACTGCGGGACTGCTGAACGACTACAGGAGTCCAAACTCGATCAAAGACTTTGAAATCATGGACCTCATCGGAAAAGGCACGAGCGGGGAGCTGTATCGTGTGCGGCCTAAGGCGAGTTTTCGACAGAGTCCAGCTTTCGTCAAGCCTAATCCTTTCAGCGGTAGTCCAGGGCCCGCGGAATTGCCAAGCTTTTACGCCCTCAAGATTATACGGAAAAGCAAGGTAACAATATGAATACTATAAGTGAAAATTATAAAGTGTTCCTCGATCCCAAATAAGAACTTCACAGGACTTGCGAGAGCAGGTGGTGCGTCCAGGTGTTTTTTGAAGAACGAGGTGATCATGATCAACAAGGAGATTATTGGATCATTCACAACAAGAGCTTACTCCTTTGATCTAATATCAGAGTAGTTTATAGCACGCATGGTGCATGGAGTAGCATGGAGTGCATGGAGTGCAGAGCTTTAAGGGGCGCAAGAAGCTCCCCCTTTAGCTCCATGCTACTCCATGTGATCCATGCACTCCATGCCATGCGAGCTGTGAAACCTTATAAATTTCTCTGTAATATGTGTAACGACCCAAACCGTAAGGTAAGGATAAGGATCAGCTTTCTGCTATCCTCTCAGTATGAGTCCCGTCGCAGCTGAGGAAGCTCCGCTTGACTATGATCCCTAATATTCATACTAGGTGAAGCAGCTGAAGATGCAAGATTTTTTGCTTCGGGAGATCGAGATTCACTCAACCCTGAATCATCCGAACGTCTTGCGGTTTTACGACTATTTTACGGACTCGCGAAAAATCTATTTGCTACTCGAACTGTGTCGATCCGACCTTTACGCGCTGATGAAAGCCGGAACTACGAGCAACAACGCTACGACTGCGACTGGTGGTTCTAGTTCGGTGGTGGGTGCAGGAGCGGTGACTGCCAATCAAATAGCTTCCAGTGGGTCTACAGCAGAGACAAAGGCGCAAGGTCGCTTTTCCGAGGCTCAGGCAGCGGAATACATGCACCAGATCTGCACAGGCTTCGCCTATTTGCATCAAAACAAGGTGTTGCATGGCGACATCAAGCTCGAGAACATCCTCATAGGAATGGATGGCCTCGTCAAAATAGCAGATTTTGGGACTGTGTGTAAGTCACAAACGCTCAAACGTAGCACGTTTTGCGGAACTTTGGACTACCTCGCTCCGGAGATAGTGGAAAGAGGGGAAAAAGAGTACGCTGGGGATCGGACCGATGTCTGGGCTCTCGGCATCATGCTATTCGAGCTCATAACTGGAAAACCACCGTTTGAGGACGAAGATACGTATCCCGAATGATATAGATATTGTAGTTGATGGTGTTGGTTGATTGGACTGGGAGAGACATCGATTATAAGTAGTTGCGATGTCTGCGTCTGTCTTCAGTGATAATTATGTTAACAAACTACAAATAGAAATACAAAAACAAATTTAAATAATATACAAATGGTACATGATATAGAATCTTCAACAGCTCTCCCTCTCACTCCGACACGAAATAAGATGCAACCATCTTCTTGTCTTCAGGTACAAGACATGCCGTCGTATTCTGAAGCGTGAGCCAGTCTTTCCGACTGACATGACGTCGGAATGTTCCGATCTTATACGTCGCATGTTGCAGAAAAATCCGAACCAGCGCTGCAATCTCGCAGGTGTGCGCAGCAGCGCGTTTTTCAGAAAGCATGGGTTGGGCTAGGAAGATTCCTTGCCCTCTGATTTTTTGATCAAGAACATGATACTTACGTTGTTGATGTAGCACTGCTATTATAGCATCAGTGTTAGCAGAAGCAGGGGATATCATCGCAGTCAAGTAGAAATAGAATTAGGTGGAATTATAAAGACAAAAAGGAACAGCAACTGGGACAACCACAACGTCACCTTTCATCTAGGAATCCAGTAAATGTTCATTGTATAATCAACCTGTTGTCCGTTTTTGTTTAGTACATTGAATACTTTGAATATCAACCGACATGCCCTTGCATAATTAACCTCTTTCGATGTGAGGATTGAGGCACTGATTCTGATAGCTTGACCTACGTAGGGAAAAACAGGCTATGACAACTCAAAAATGTAGTTTTTATTATCTCACGCATGCATCGGCATCTCCATCTAGTACACCTTCAGCTTCGACACGCGAATGACAGAAAGACACACACTAGTGTTGGTCGTTTTCTAGTTTTACCACGCTTCATCTTCCCCAACAGACTCGATACGTATTTCCTGCAGTTCGTTGAAGACAAAAACACAGAGATTGAACACGGCCAGCGCAAGCATTCACAACGTGTTTGGGTATACGTTTCGTTTTCGCTTGGTTCCAACACGGTGGTATGGACGAGTTTGAGTTGTCATCAAGCACCATAAGCGCCATTATGATTTCTATCATCTAATGCCGGATATAGCTGGTACTGCTGGCTGTGCGGGATTATGTCCACCTGCGGCTGAGTGGCTTCTACGTGCTTAAGATAGTTTCACTTATACGTGAATGAATACGTGCGGTCATTGAGTCCGGATGAGCGACTTGCTCAGGAGAAGAAAAAACAAATTTAGTGTGGCCGTCTTGGAGTGCATTATAGATGAAAATCATCCTAGTTCTGCAAACAAGTGTCGTAGTAATGAAAAAGGATGAGTAACAAGAAGCCACAAAAGAAAAAGGAAAAAAAACGAAAAAGTGAGCATATAGACGCTCTGCAAGACCGAACTATTGTCGCATGATCGAACAGAATGCGAAGACAAAAACAAGAGAAGGAATACGAAACTTTGTTTCTAGTATTGCCATATGAAATACACATAACAATAAGTACTTATAATATATCGATTATATTGTCTACTCTTCATTTTTGGCACCGACAAAGTAAAGGACAGCCCAAGCCATGACCATGAACGTCGATCAAATCCACAATTTAATGGGCCTCCTGGGCGTGGACCAGGGGGAAGAGCAGGAAAATAGCACCCTACCTCCGAATGCCATCGCTGCGGAAAGAACCGCCATGGGCTTCAAGGCCAGGAGTCAAGCGAAGCCAAATCTTAAGGTACCTCATTATCATTTGCCCTTGCCGCTAGACTTTTTTTTATTTGGTAATACCAATTGCGATTACCGAGTTGTCCTACTTTTGCATTGTGATTTGCTGCTTGTACGAGCAGAAGAAAAACAAGTACGTAGCATCAATGTGGTATTCATATTCTCTTTCTTCTCGGAGTTGTACTTGTAACTGCTGATGGCCTCTAACAGATCATAGGGATAGTTCGCTTGTGAGTACTTATTCAATCCTTGTCGTTCAGGTAGCAGTAAAAGACCGGAGTAAAAAAAAGTCGGAATTGCAAAAGAAAGTTGCAGAATCTGTGTGGCGAGACGACGACTTCAAGGAGAATGCTGGTGTCGTGCTCAAGGATGAAGGCGACGACCGGAAGACGCCAGACTATGAAATTCTATACAAGCAGGATGTTGGAAGTGAAGACGTCTTCCTCAACCTGGGTATTTTTTACCTACTTTGTAGTTTTACGAGGAAGAGGACAACGAACTTCCTGTTTGTTAGTTGTTATGGTACAGTTTTTTGATGTGGATAGAATGAAGATGTAGATGTTGCACGTTGATTTTAAGATACAACACGAAGACAACTACCACCTAGGTGACCGCGACGGTTCCTCGGACCACTGCTCTGACCTAGTGCTGAAAGTCAAGTTGCCTGGCGCCCAGTTGAGTGATATCACGCTTGATGTACTCGAGAATCGTGTTGTGGTGAGCTCCAAGAATTACCATCTCAACGCGGCGTTACCTCAACCTGTGCGAAAAGACGATGGCAACGCCAAGTGGGATAAGCTGAAGGGAACCCTGTCTGTCACTCTTCCTATAAAAACAGAAGTCAAATACTTCTCAGACGTAGCAGAATTGATAAGAGATCCTGACAGAGAAAACTGATGAAGATTCGATGACCCAGAGGTCGGGACATGACCCAGAGGTACGGACGGGTGGTTGCGACGTTAGGACCACGGCTGTTTACTTAGAAGATGCGCGGCATAGGCACCGACGTGATAAAGTCTTCAATTCTACTGTTTATGCATCGCTGATTCGATTCTCTTGCAGTTGAACATGTTCTAGAGAGAGGTGGTTGAAGTGTAGTTTTGAGAAAAGTTATTGGGTCCTCCTGGCACGAGAGTCTGAGTCCCCTGTCCCCGGCATTACAAAAAAAAAAGGAAACTGTTTCCGGTTTGCGAACTGGATAAAGGTCAGGAGATTCTTTCAATCTTCGCGGCATTTCGAAAATAGAAGAAACTTTTTCTGAAGTCTCTAAATCCGAACCCAAATCCTCAATGTGTGTGCCATAGATGCCCACCCTTTACCTGAAACTGAACCCTCAGACCATTCCGCTCATGTCTAAAATGTGGAAAAAAAATGTGTAATTCTTGTCTCTGTCTTGCCAAAGCAAGGGCAAACTCATTTTGATAGTCACGTTCTCGTTCTACATAGTAGCAGTTTTTGTTTTCTTGTTGAATGATCCACCTCATTTCCACCAACGTAAATCCAGTAGTCGTGGTACTGTCTCAAATTTTCTACTGTCAACAACATCCTCAGCTTCATGTTCAGGTACTGAAAAATTGAATATTTTTTCCCAGCAGTCAGAACCAGATTTTCACTCGGAGACAGACGCCGGACGTCGCGCTGTATTTTAGCTACACCCGCATTTCGATTTCTCCCACTTCGGCCACGGCCACCTTTCCTTTCAAGAGGAGTGCTTGTGATTGTCTGAGAGAGATTCTGCAGAAGGCGATTTTCGCAGCCTAATTGTTCGCGTGCCTCCAACAACGGCCAGCACGCTCACGCAACGACTCCTGCTTCACCACTAGCTTACTGATGCCATTCGGTCCTCTTGGCTGCTCCCGATTCAGGCAGTTCAACTAGTGCCTACAACTTAGTACTGGTACTACATCAGCCGCATCCGTTTCCAGGTCTTCCACGAGCACAACAGCCATCTACTTCGCGAGCAAGATGTTGTGTGCAATCGAGAATCGAGGTCCCAGTGGCGGAGAGTCCACACCCCTCTCCTTGTTGCAGTTTCACCAGGAGAACCAGCCAGGGTCATCGAAGATAGGCACGTTTGAGAAGGCCCTCTTCGCCAAAATCGGACGGTACCAGGTCATGTTTGGTCTCGCGCCGCATCTGGAGGCTTCCCAGGTCGTGAACCTGGTGGGCGCCTGTAAAGAAAAAGTCGAAGCAATACTGAAGGCTCAGCTGCTTAGCGGAGCTGGAACTTCGAGCGCGTCCTCATCCGCATCGATGAAGAAGAGTCCGAAAGATGCGTTTGACCCACTGTGGATACGGGAATGGTGCCATCTAGAATTACTGCCTGGAGGGCCAGGAATAGGCGGTGTTGGCCAACTGGAATGTTAAGGCTATTTCGAATTATCTTTTCTTGTTGAAAAATACGATAATTGATCATGTCGTGAGTATTCATAATTGATGGTTGTATTCCAAGCTAAAAACAAGGAACTTAAGAACGACAGAAGGAGAACAAATTGCATCTTTTGTTAGTAGGTGTGTTAGTAGTTGTAGTACTAGTTCTATTTTTTTCAAGAGAACCAAGAGAACCAGTCCTCTCAGAGGCTCTGTCTCTAAGACCAGACTGAGTCACAGCGGGATTATATGTACGCCGTGTGGGAAGCTTTTAATTCTCTGGTGGAAGAGGAAGCAGAGGTCCAAACAAATCCTCGCAAGCTGTCGGATGTAGGTACGTGATCATTGTTTTCATTAGCTGCTGCTCTACTGCTTTGTTCAACTTTGATTTGACCTTCAAGATTATGAAAAACTCCATTCTTGTTCAGCATGCAGTTTTTACATTAACTTACTTATTATGTTGATGAGTATCTTTAGCTTGAGTTCGGTTCCTTGTTTAGTACAATGAACGAATACCTTCTTCACCAAATAAACCAAATAAAGAAGAACATCGAGGAGGACCCTAAGCCTAAGCTATAATTGCAATCCAAGGTGGTCCAAGTGCACCGACAGTGTTTCGACGGGTGCTCGGTGCGATACCCCATGAGGACGACTATTGTGCCGTATGCCCAGCGGAGATACCATGGACCGAGCGGTTAGACTCCAAGATGAAAGAGTTAGCAGTGGAGCATTTTTCTGAGGGTATGATGATCAATCTGAGAGTATGATGATCAAAAAGTAAGGTTGTGCAACGAGAAAAATCCTGGTCTAATACGTACTTACGACCCGTGAACGTTGTTGAAGTTAGTAAAGTGGTTCAAGCGATATCAGGCTGCATTATTTCCCTGTATCGCTCAAGGCGATTCGGATCGGTAGATCTTTCTTCGACACAGTACATCAAAAGCTTCGCCATTTTTGAGCTTTTGTACTACATAACATGGGATCATTAAGTTCAATATAGCAGGACTAGTACCTCCTGGTATTCATTTTTCTAAGACGAGCAGCAAGAAAGGCGACGAAAGCGACACTCTGCGCGATCTCATAGCGACATTGCGAAAGCGCCAAGACTACATGGATCAGCTGATGGGTACCTCTATCTTCATGGGTACCTCATCTTTAAGCGATGTGGAACCAACGTCAGCGGTGACGGCATCAGTGTCAGGCAATGGCGGTGCAGGAAAAGATAGTGGAACAGCGAGTCCAGCCTCGCCATCGCCTGCAGAGCCAGGGGATGCTATTCTTATGCAATTTATTATAAATATGCTTTAATTTATACGGGTTCTTGGGGTTTTCTACAAGAACTCTTTGTTGCCACAGGCACAGCTCGATCATTTTATTTTTTAGTATTTTCCTAGACCTATTCCTCCATGTGAGGCTAAGGATTAGGAAACCAAGTACTAAATGAAGCATCTTCCACAGTGAGCTTCAACATCATCTCTAACATTCTAGTGGTTGCGAACTCAGCAACAAACGAATCGAACGCTGATAGTCTGGCGATTGCCAGGAAGAAATTAGCGAAGAATGTGATGGTTTTGCGGGATTTGCTTTTATTGTCAGACCACCTTCATATTTCGCTCCCAGACCTGGCCAGGCGTGTCGCTGAAGATTAAGGCCCTGACTGTAGTTGTAGACTTGAGTACAGGTATATGGTACCGTGGTTGTAGTAGAAACATGTGGATATTATTGTAGACTCACCAAGTGCAACAGATACGCATCGTCTTGATAGAAACAGCTGCTGAAACAGCTCGTGTTCGACTTTCTACCTTACTTTTCTAACGAGAAATGCCAGAGGTGTCGCTGATCCCGCGTGTAGCCCCGCATGTTTCTGCGCAGTATAGGAGTGAGCAGAAGGACTTCTTTTTGCTGGAGAACATGCGACGAATCCATTTCGAAAGGAAAATTATGGAGCATTGCTTACCCTTACAACCCATTCTGCAGCTCATAAGTAATTATACAGCCTTATAATGATTCACTATCCCTCTAAGAATCGTCTATTCGACGAACTGATTGACAAGCAGACGAATCCTGAGGATACGTCTGCTGGTGGACTCCAGATAGCGAAGTGTGGGCCAGGATGCGCTTGCGGCGCACCGCCTCGGTGAGGAAGATAATCTATGTACTACACACTGCCACTGGGTTAGAAATAGATTGCAAATAGATTGCTTAGACGACCGGGACTTCTATCATAGATTGGTTAGACGACACGTAGATTGGTCACAAGCTCAAGAAGTTCCTCATCATCGTGGAAAAATCTTTGCAGTCTTGTGACGCGGAGTCCAAAAATTTCTTCAAAGGAGTCCATTGACCGAGTTACTTCTAGATGCATTTCCAGAACTTTGATAGTTGGGGGATGTTGCTCAACTGCATGATTGAGTTTCAAGATCTTCGGCAGTTCTTGGGAATATAGCTAAATATCATGTTGATAGTCTCCGTCGATAACCTACTGCGAATCCATATCCAATTTGGACCAAATGTGAGCAACAAAATAGAAGGTTTTCGATGTTGGGTTATCAATCTAGTGCTTCGTGATTTTTTTTAATTATACTTGTACTTACTCAGTTCTCTCAGCTAAGTATTTTTCATGATATATGCTGCGCTCTGCAACGGCATCCACCAAGTCGCGACCCCTCGGCCCACATACTTTTACGAGCACTTCTCGGGATGTTACTTAATTGATTCTGATGTAGTCGAAGTCGATGAATGTGAACAAGTTACTCTCGGTACCTCCCTGGTCGTACAACCGCCACGTGTTTGCACAGTTTCTTCTGATCAGTCGAAATCTAGTGAAGTTTGAGGTACAACTATCAAGATTTTACATTTACATCTGAGCAAATCCAAATCACTGAAACTGCCTCCACGCCATGCTAGCTGCAAGACAAGGATTTGACACTTCACTGTGAAGACGTACATTAATGGACTCCGACAACGACAAGGAAGAGGAGGTAAGCATCTTGCAATCTTCAAAAGCTGAGCGTTTTAGAGTTCTTAGACTTACTAGTTTTCAAAGTCATCGTAGTTTTTCACCATCGCATGCCAGTTTTCGTACAACAACGCAGCTTCTTCGTACCATTCCTTCGACCTACTCCTACGACATTGCATTTCCCTTATAAAGTTAAAGACGCATGTAAAGATAAACATCCTTTGCCTTTGCCTTTCCCCACTTGCTCTTGCAGAAGGACCCCTACTTGGTGGCTCCCGTCACCTTCTCCAGTATGCTTTGGTTGTTCTTTCTATAAAGGGAGAAGTATGACGAGACTGAGTTCTCTTTTTCAGAAAGGCTCTGATACCAAAGGCAAAGATTCTGACAGGTGACAGCCACGAGCACGATTGTGACGAGTCGTGAGTTATTGTTATAGTCCGACACCGACGCCCAGCACGACCACAAGCACGTCAATGAGTGAGTCATGGTAGACCGACCGCCCACGTCATCAAAAATGCAAAATTGCGAATCTAAAAAGTGTTGGGGAACAAGAACCAGGGAGCAAATGAAGCGATAGAATCACAGGACAATACGAATTGGCCACCTACTGAAACGTGTATTTTCGATAGTACACAACGAACTAAGGACGGGGACAGGAAAATCTGTACGCAGAAGAATGGTACACAGTATCAGAACCGTGATTTATTTCCTGCTTGTTAACAGCTATGGCATCTGCGATTTCAAATGTGTAAGAGCCATAGCTCGAAACAACGCTATCACAGACCATTCGGTCGCATCTTCGCAGGGAAGCGATCATGGTCCACACCAAGACGCGCTTCAGTCCCCGTTGTTTTCTCTCCGTCTTACACCTGAAATCGCCTCCCGCGTTGCATTCGATCGACCGCGAATACAGACACTTGCCCACCTTTTGGCAGAGCGTGATCGAGGAGAGCGCGATCGCTACCTTCTCCCCAAGGAACTTCTTGGGAAATCAAAACGGCACGTCGAGAGATGGGCAGCTCGCTTCAGAAAAAGATGGGCCGACAGCAGGCTCGTATTACCATCTGCCGACGGCAGCGTTGGTGTCAAGAAGCATCTCGTCCTCGCAACGACTACGCGTCCTCACGAGCGCTTCCTGGCGGATGCGATGTGTGCCTGGCTCGGAATTTCAGTCTGTCAGGAGGTGCGCGAACAGAGGCTTGCAGCGGAAACGGATTTCGATCTCAAAAAATCGGGAGATGGGCGTGTTCCAAGAAGCAGTACAGAGAATCGCACGTTGCAGAAGTTTGTCTTCCGATTTTCGCGCACTTCCTATGTTCATCTTGCCGGTCGTGATACTCTAACTCTATCCGAGAAGAAGGTAGCAACAGCAACGAGTAACACTGAAGATATGAAATCAACTTCTTTTTCGACGAAGCACCATCACAGCTCCTCGGAGACAAAGTATAATTGCGTCGCCTTTTCTTCTTTGTTAAGTTTCGCGGCAGATCCCGTCTACGTCGTGGAGTCACTGGAAGCAGACTCAGGCTGCGATATCTTCGTGATTGCTGCTCTTCGACGGGACGATAAGGTGGAGGACTTCGCGGAGCCGAGTTTGTTGCCAGAGGTAAGGAGCCCCGCAAGCGCAACAGGAGCGGGAGCTTCCAGGCAGAGCAAGCCACGACTGCAGCAGCACTACCGTGCGTGGACGATTCCTGAGCTGGATGCCTTCCTGAGTGATTTTCAGGATAGATTACTCTTAGTCGGATTGCAAACAGGCATCTACCCGGATGGGCAACTAGCAGTGCTTGTTCGGAAACATTTGTTTACAGAAGGAAACGGAAAGGCGACACCATCAGCATCAGAGCGACCGGCGTTGGGTAACGGAAAGGTATCACCATTGGTATCAGAGCGACCAGCGTTACAACCGGCTTCTTCGCCTTTCTCTCCTTGGCTTCTGCCCATTCCTAAATTGTTGGAGAAGCTGCCATCCACCCTAACGCTCTACGAATACGACATGTCTATAGGACGGGTGAGCGGATCGCCGCTTTTTTCGGCGGATAACTTGACGACGATAGATGCAGACCGTCTCTGGCCCTCTACAGCTCAACTCGTTGCATTTGGTCATCGCTCGCGACCTCGAGGGCCGCATCCGTCTGCAGCGGAACAGCTAAAACTATTTTCGCATCGTCATCAAGATCAAGCGATGAACCTAGACCTACAAACAATAGCTATTCCCCAGCACGGCTACTACACGATCACCACGACAAAGCCAATCCCACTCGTTCATCCTCTACTTCGACCCGGATGGCTCAGTCGAAGGCCGTTTGATCGCTTTTTTCTACACGAGGACGCGCAATTACAGCCAGCAAGCAGACTGAAACGCTTTTTCAATGACCGGAATTCGACTGACGAGCATCAGAAAGAAGTGTATGCTTTTGCAGCACTCTTAGTGTTAAGACTACAATAAATCCACTTTCGGAGGCATCTTGCTCCCGTTTTTAAAGGGAAAAGAGGGCCCAAGATACTGCTGCGGATGTATTTCCCTTGGTTCTAATGGTGGAAAAGCTGGGCTTGAAGGAGGTCTTTGATGTTGGTTGCGGCTCGGGATGGAAACTCGTTCATATGTTGACAAAGGAATGGTTTGCCACGGGAACAAGAACTGCGAATCGTCTTGATGCAACATCCACATCTACTTTACGACGAGTTTCGTCAACAGAGGAGCAGGACGAGGCAGAGACGTCTTCCACTAGTTCTACTGGTAGTACACATAGTTGTACTAGTACTAGCACATCTTGTTCACCTGGACCTGCTACAACTTCTACAACAAGTAGCACAACGCACGACACATCGCGCGACACATCGCACAACACATCGCACGACACATCGTCATCGATTTGGAAAGAGTTGCGCAAAACGGGTTTTGACGTGTTTCCTACGCTGGCTTTTCTTCGTCAAAGCTACAAAATGAAAAATTTGCGCTGGCTGACCGGATCTGAGGATTACATCTTTGCGAATGCGACTTCGAACTCGTCTCCCTGTCTCGTCCTCGCCTCCGACGTCATCGAGCACGTGGAGGACCCTGGCAGTTTCCTCGATTTTCTGACAGGCGAAAAATTTGAAGTCTGCAACTACCTGCTGCTCTCAACCCCGCGGCGGGAGTGGGCGTCACCGGTAATTCCGAAAAACGCGCATCACATAAGGGAATGGGACTCAGTAGATATGGATCGATGTAGTTTTTGCCATTTCTTTGTAGATCATCTTCGAGGCTCAGGCTCTGGCGCACCCTTAGGCTTAGGGTCTATACGGGAATGATATAGATATCTTCCACTCGATGTTTCACACCGAAGGCGGAAAGAAGGGCAGCCTAGACTCAGACAGTCTACTGACTCAGATGGAAAAACTACATCCATACTAGAGTTTCCGACCTGGTTAGCCGTCTTCCTGAGCAGGAAGGGGTGGGCGGTGGTGGATTCCTTCGTGGGATTGCAAAGGGCTGCGACTCAGGTGGTGTTTCTGGAAAGACGACAGAGACATCTTCCAGCTACCTCGATTGGCTGATGAAGGGCACCGGAGGAGTTAGGTTCCTCGCCTGGCTGAAGAAGGATAGCACCTTGCTTGGCTGAAGTAGAGGAAAGTTAGTAGGTTCCGCTGAACAAGTAAAAGAAAGAGCTGCTAGTTAGACTTGAATGTAGTTGCATACTATGCATTCCGAAACTCTCTCAGTTGTGGATCAATCTACGTCTTTGTGAGATTGTTTACCTAGGTTTCAGAGTCATCATAGTTTTTAGTCACAAAAGATTCACGCTAGTAGCGTCGGAACAAGAAATCCACTCTGCAGCATATAAATTTCCCTGTCTACAACTTAGTCTTAGATGTCATCCTCTGGCGGTGATATTTTTCAACCTTTTCCTCATGGATTTGGATGCAAGAGGAAGAGCTTGAAAGAGTATAATTGGTATTCTATTATTTTTCGAAAAAGATTAAGATACTCTCAAACGTTCAGGCGACGGCAACGACGAAGAGCATCAGTTGTGACAAGAAACTTACTGCTCTTCTCGTCCTACCCTCAGCACGGAAACAAGTGTGTTATAGTGCGACCCCTACCTCATCAAATCTAAAAATGTAAAACAGCACATGAGAGTGGGAGCGCATTAACAAAAAGCTGGGGAAAAGAAGCTGAGTGCAGCAAATGAAGAGGGATGGAGTCAGAGCAGGAGACCGCATATACAGATTTAGGATTAGACGGAATATAGGGTAGCCCCATGAATCACTTAAAGTCCTCTCGTCCATGATAGCCTATGTATTATTCGATTTGAAATTTGGACTTTGTTAGAACTAGGACCCAACTACTTTCGATTTCACAAGGCTTTTCCGGTTGTCGTGATGCAAAAAGGGTGCAACGAACCCCCATTTCATCTCCTTTCATTGGGCTCTGATGTCGTTACTTTCTTTTTTTTTAAAATCACTACAATCTTCTTAAGCTTTTCCTTTTTATTTCTTCGTTGTATCAAAATCCGAACTTTGGTGAAGTCTCGTCGACTTGAACGAGGCATTTCTCCTCTACGATCACTAGTTCTTGTATGTATTGTGACTTCGTCTTCGACGAGGCATAGTTCCTCGTCGAGGACCACTGCATCTACAAGATGGTCGCTTGCCAGATTCTGGCGCAGTATTTTTACCATGTTGCTGCTTACCAATTATATCCTGCGTACTCGTACTCCTCCGGCTCCGCGATTTTCTTTCCTGGCTCGACCGCGATAGTGTGCTCCGTTGGCTGGATCGGGCCCGCCACAGGTTTCACAAACCAGACACGTCACCACAGGCGAGCCTATTTCAATAACAGAGGAGCGTACTTTGTCAGTCCCGATGCTGACATTTCAGTCGAAGAAGATGAAGACTTTTCCGATTGGAACGGAGACGGGATCCATATTAAGAGCAGTCGGGCCATCTACGGTCCGCCCACGCTTAATGCGAGCTTTCTCGACGCTTCGACCGGTGGGGCAAAACCGGCACCAGGAACGGCGGCAACGGCGATGGCGGCTTCATCAGCGGCCGAATTACCTACAGGTACACCAGTGGCGGCACCTCCAACATCCAATCCTGCATCCGCGAGTGGAGGCGCAGACGCAACCCCGGCACTAGAGCATGAGAGCTACAAGGAGCTTATCACGAGGAACTGTCGATCTCCAGAGCCCTCTTCTTCTGGTGATATGCCATACCCGGACTGGCAGACAGCTTGCTCTGCGGAAGCGATATGGACTTTTTCCACCGCAAGCAGTAACCCGTACTTCGGGCAAGGGCAAACAAGAGTCGGCAAACTAGTAGATCATGAAGACAGAACTCAGATCGAAGAAAGTGAAATGCAGATGGGCGAGTCCCTGTGGCTTTTCGATTTGAATCCTGACGATGACAAAGCGTACGAACGAAAATGGAAGGCGGTGTTTGACGATGCGAAGTGGTGGTACGAGCATGGTGATGATGGGTCCGAGTTGAAGCCGACTAGGACTACAAAAGCAGGTGCCGGAAATCTGAAGGCTGCTAGTGATTTGCCGAAACCTGAAGGCGTAGCGCCACAACGAAAAGGACAACATCACACCTCCGACGGGCCGCGAAGGAATGCGGAGAGAAAACAGGCACTAGAACATCAAAAACAGATCCTTAAGGAACAAAAAACCCTTGGGAATGTGCCACCCCTGGGTGTTTCTGTAGACATGACATCAGACATCATCGACTGGATCAACTCGATCCGCACGCGAGAAAAGGTGGAGGGAGACGGACAAAAATCAGGGAACAATGGTGGAAACGAAAACGTGTCAGGAAGTGCCAAACTCAAAACAGTTCGATTCAACGACGCACAGAAAAATGTTGTAGAGCTCTTCTTCTGGCCTCGATTCCTTTATTACGTAGACGCCGAGGGCAAGGAGCTTGTATCCACGCTTGATCAGGCACTGGCACAGCTCACGGCGGATGCGGATCGTGCGGCTGTCCTTACCTTGCCACTTCCCTCCAATTGGCAGAATCCGGAAGTCCCTTATCCGCTCAGGGATAAAGATATCATTCGCATGGACGTCGTTGATTTTGCGAGACTAGTGTACTACGGAATAATAGTTGTCGAACAGCCAGTGAGAGAGATCAGATTGTACGGTCATAATTCTCCCAAGGTCATCAAGGCACAGGATCCTACTCTACCGTTTGAAGTCGCCCTTGTGACGGAAGGACTGAATTTTGGAAGGGAGGCGCTCAAAAATAGATTGCTGCCCCGGTTAGTGGAGGACACATTCGCCAGTTACGCCGCGCGTACAAAAAATCATCCCGGCACGGTTCAGGCGCTCTCTGAGATGTCATCTTTTTCTGACTACGTTGGACTCAAGAAGAGAAGCTACTTTGAGGTCATTTGGGACAGCTGTCCCAGAAACGTTAGAATGCGCTTCATGCACAAAGACGAGCTATGGGCCGACACGTTGCCGGACTGGCACGGATCTTGCTCTGCGAAACAGATACGGGAATTCTCCACCAGCAAATCGTACAGGTACAACCAGCGCGCTAACTACTTTTGGGACGAGATGACAACAGTAGAACTAGAACAACTAGCCATAAAACTCATGCGGGGTCAGCAACAAGTAGAAGCACAAGTAGTTGGCAAGGAGAAACCAGTGGCGGGCGAGGTCCTGTGGTATTTCGACATGAGTGATTACGAAAAAAAGATGCACAATGTGATGAACGACGCGAGGATGTGGTACTCGTGTCCGAATAGGAACGCCGCTGCTGCTGCACGTCAAGCACGAGATCGGATCAGACGCGGTATCCTGGAGCCGCAATTAAAAGGGGTTGACAACATCCGGGCGACGGCGACAGATGGTCCTCAAGGCAAGGCGAGAGTACCACAACTAGAAGATGTAAGGCAATACATCAGTGTCAAAAGCTGGATCGATAAAATCCAAGAATTCCAAAAAAAGCAGTCAAAAATAGCATCAGCACCATCTTCACCTGCCAAAGGCGCTCCAGGGAGTCAAACTGCGGGGAAAATTGCAGCTGCAACTAGTATGTACAGAACAGTTCGGTTCGCCAAGAAAGAAAAAGATGAATATGTGGAGCTTTCCTTTTGGCCTCATAAAACTCGGCTTGGCGGCAATGATTACCCGATAGACCTCACGAGAAAAACGTCGGGAGCTGTTCTTACTTTACCACCACGGCTACCTCTGGACGGTAGTCAGGGTGCGACAGATCTCGTGAAAAATCTCATCCGTATGCCTATCGTCGATTTTGCGAGACTAGTCTTGTACAAGATAATAGTAGTCGAACAGCCAGTCACTAAGATCATTGAGCGAGTTTGGAAGTTTCCAATGGCTAACTTCCCTTTCATTCACCACCAGCCATTCCAGATGGCGCCGCTGTTTGAGGTTGACCTTTTGTTGAACCAGAATCCTCGAGCCAAGTATGAGAATATGGAGAAAGTGCCGGGACTCATCACGACGCCGCTCAATACATTGGATCGGATGGAGCAGGACACTCTTGCTCGAAACGACGTGTATAACGATTATTACGTCAAGAAGGATGAGGCCGATAAAAGAACAGCGACTGGATTGCCACATTCGGGAATGCTGTAATTTAAGAACTTCGGTGGAGGACGACGTGGTGTTGCGTCAGGCCACAAGACGTGTTGAGAATGTTTTTTGGATGCAAGTGAAGTTTACTCGGAGGTGTCGGAAAAAGAAACTGATGAGACACGCATTTCAGATAATAGAGGAAACCAAAAACAACGTGAACAATGGCAATATAGTCGTGGTGCCAATGGCAATGAGGACCGATACCGCGTTCTCATTCGACACAAATGCAAATGATTAGAGGACAAACAAAGATTTTCTTGATTTTCTCTGAAGCAGATCTCCCATACCCATTCCCATAGAGTAACAATACGCATTTCTTCATTGATTCAAGGCAGATTTTCTCGAATTTTTATTTTCTTTTTGCAATATGAATATCGTCGTTGAGCGTGAGAAGTTGAAGCAAAAGCGGGGCAAAGGTGTTGTATGCATAAGATCTAAGTACTTAGTTCAAGAGAAAAAACAAGGTCAAGGACGAGAGGATGACAGATAATACAAGGAACAACAGAAATTCCACGCGGAGATGGTCCTGGAGATTATGGAAGAACACGTAGAAAAAGCTTGCGTGTTCGGCACATGTGGGTAGACCGAAATGATCAAACTACTTAGAAAGAAGGAGATTTTGCTTGTAGCACAAAAAGGTAAAACTAAAACTATGTAGCCATAGGTCATGCTAGACACAACTTGTTAAATAGAGGATAAATTAATGCGACTACAGTCTTGTCCAACTAGAATTCGCGATGTACTAGGATAACGCGGCGGTAGTTACATACTCGGTGCAGCTTGTGTTTGTCCACTCATTGCTCCACTACTTCGCTGCTACATCATCACTACTTGTGGAATGGTTGCTCCACTACTTGTTCAATCGCTGCTACTTCAAGAGCAAGAAAGTTAAAGTCACGCTAGTTTTTTTTTGTCAAAGTCACGCAAGTTTTTTTTTAAGTACTATAGTAAGTACTATCTATACATAGTAACTGTAACATACAACGCTGTCGTGGTTCGCAGATGTGACACGTCTGGATGGCAAATGAAGAAGAACTGTCAAGCTCGTGGTCAGGTCACACAGGGCTACCTGAGTCGTGCCTTCTGCATACAAGCGCTATTTCGTTCCAGTTGGTGGCTCCAGGTCGGGTCATCAGCCACCACGCACATAACGTCGATAGAGCGCTGCAGTGCGATCTTCTCATGTGGTGCAGTTCTCGAACCCTGAAGCGCTACGTTGGTTTAGGGCTTAACCACGACTGAGGTATTTTGTTCGGCGCCCATCGATTTGTTTCATGCGTACGACCTCGGTCGACGTGACTGACGACGTAACAAAGTGCGACGACGTCCATTTTTTTCATCACTCTGGAATTGAGGCAGCAGCAGCAGCAGGAATATTCGATTGTGAAAGCTGAAAAGAACAGCTTCCCAGGAAAGGGCTCGACGCAAGAGCAGCAATTGGAGAGATGTTGCCCACCAATACTCAACAGGATGTTCTGGATCTCTCACAGGGAAGAGGCGGCCCGCGGAGTTCATGGACGATGACCTCGCTGATGGTGATCGGATTATTGGTTAAGGCTCAAGAGGAGCGGTTTGGATTCCATTTCCCTATATTTCCTTGTTGAATAAATATTCTTGAGTTTCTAATTCGAGAACAGCGATGGCGGGATACGATACTGCGGTAGTTAGTGGGACCATCGACTTTATGGCGGAATCGCTGAAGTTCCCGAGAAAGGACGATACTTTCCAGCGGACTGCAGTGGTAGCATCCACGACGATATGCGCCATGCTTAGCGCATGCGCGCAGGTGCTTAGCACTACAGGACAAAGTTTCGGTACTTGTGTGACTTGACTTCTAAGAAACAACTACAGTGTGTAACAGGAAGAGAAACTGAAACTGGATTACCCATCATCATCATGACTGTTTTGCAGGATGATCATTTTCTCCAAAGATCGACTTTTCAGTACTCCTCCTCTTTTTTCGAACTTATCTATTCGACCTTTGGTTTCTTTCATCAGGCAGACGGCCGGTCCTCTGCGCAGGGATACTCCTACACTTCGTCGGAACAACGATGTGCGTATTTGCTACTGAGTACTGGTTTCTGATTGCAGGGAGGTCCGTTGTCGGCCTAGGCGCAGGCTTTATCTTTGTGGTGCTGCCGATGTACCTAGGCGAATGCTCTGCAGCAAGCTCTCGTGTTATGGCCTACTAAAAGTACAAGTAACATAGTATGTAAGTCGATCTAGAACCATTGATTCACATCTCCGCACAGGTCAGGTCAGGATCATGTACTCTTGGAATCAATACGATCAACATTTTCATCATTCTTCTTCACGAACGTTCTCGCTGTCTTTCTTCTACTTCGTTACCCTCACCTCTCCTCTAATCGCTGTTGTTCTACAACTTGTAGTCAATGGCTCCACTCGGTGTCTACAACTTGTCAAGTCCAGTGGCTCTAATCGGTGTTCTGCCGTGGCGAGTTTGGACCTCTTTATCGTCCTCGGGCAAGTTGTGGCGGCGATAGTGAATGTATCCTTACAGGAACTTCTGCCCGATAAGCAGGACTTGTCATGGCGTCTTTCGTATGCGTTCATCATTCTCCCTGCTCTCGTCTGCTTGATCCTGATACTCCTGTTACGAAGCGTTTCTGAATGGAGAAGAAGATGCTCTTCAATAATGATGACCATTAAAGAGCAGATGCGATGTCCTGCTACTTCGAAGTAAAATATGTAGTTGTGTCAGTGTCTCTACTCGATACCGTTGCGACCGAGCTACTACTGAAAATGAAATAGAAGGTGCCTATAATTTTCAAGCGATAGGCATAGGTAGAGGTACCAGCTGGAACTGGAAGTGACTCCCTTTTTAGTAATGATCCTGCACTGGTGAGACTAGTAGTAGTAGTTGTCGTGGTGGTGCTTCTGCTTGGTAGACTGGGCATGGCTAGAAAAAAAGTTCTTGTCGTCTTTTTTTCTTGCTAATCCCTGACGCCATTCCCGAGTCACCGCGTGTTTTGCTGCTACGTGGTGAAATTGGAGAAGCTGAGAAAGCTTTGATCGCGCTTTTTGGGAACGCGGATGATCTACGAGCAATCCAACAAGCTCAACTAGAGGAGCGGAATTTTCTGCTAAAAAATGGCTGTTTAATGGCGTCTCCGCAAAAGGAAGAAGCGGAGTTGTTAGCTAAGGCTGGGCAGGAAGAAGTAGAAGATGGCTGTTTGAGCATCTTACTTTGGATCATCATCATGTAGAAGATGTATTGAAGAGCAGTAGATGAACCCATACCTAGCAGGAGTTATTACATGAAAATGCTTAGTGAAGATTACAATTGCCTATACTCTTAGCTCCACAACTACCGCTAAATCAAAGGCACAACTAGCACAACGGTCAGGGGAGCTAGCACCTACACCCGCGCTGGACACCAGGCCCCGAGACACATCGAGTGGTCCCCAAGCGGTCAAAGCACTAGTAGACGATAAGGTCTCTGGGGCGGACGAGAGCAGCAAGACCTCTAGCTCTGTAGCTGTTCTTTTCGACGCAAGTGTGCAACAACAGCCATTAGTTACGCTGTGGTACTTTTGGACTCTCCCAGGTTTCAAGCGCTTACGTCGAGCCATGCGTGCTGGCTTGGGCTTGACTCTGTTGAACCAGCTGACCGGCATCAACATTAAGGAGGCTTCTTGTGGATGAAAACGACTAGGGAAGTTCCTATCAGCACTGTCAACATCAACATGCAGGTAGGTCAACAGTTCGATGTGTGCATAGAATAAACGAACCGCAGTAGATCATCGTAGAAAAACCGCAGTAGACATAGGTCATTGGAAAACCTCCGCCTCGTCTAACGATCCTGTGATGTTGTTCGGTGCGACGGTTGTCCAGGGCATGGGTTACTCTCTGCACGCAGCGATCTGGGCGACAGTACTCCTATGTCTGACACAAGCCGTCGGCGTGTTTATCGCAGTCTGGCAAATCGATGGTGCTGGCGGCCGCCGCTTTGTGGCCCTGAGGTCTTGCGCATTAATGTGTCTCTCTTTAGTCCTTCTTAGCGCGTCGGCGTCGACAACTGCTACATCATTCACGAGCAGTGACCAAGACAAAGGCAAATTCAACATCCAAAGCCTCGCGATGCCAGCGTTGTTGTTGTATCTTTTTGCCTTCGGCGTTGGGCTATCACCTCTTTGCTGGGTCTACAACGTGGAAGTGTACCCGACCTCAGCGCGCAACCTATGCTCCGACCAAGCTTTCCTGTTGAATATTGCATGCACGAGTTTGGTCAGTAGCAGTTTTCTGCCGATGAAAAATGCGATAGTTAAGGCTCGTTTGTTCCTTTCTCACTGAATTTGATCATAGTTCTTGTACATCGATCTGCGTTTTCTACATCCCCACTTTCTTAGCTGTCCCGCAATTAAGCTCCTGTCCGACAGGTAACGCAAAACGAAACTGCTTCGAGATGGTGCATCTGCATCCCACGATGGGTAACATTGAGCAGCTCTAAGACACGACTCGGCGGCGTCTTTGCCATGTTCGGCGCCGTTGCTGCGATTGGTGGCATTTTCGTCTACCTCTATTTGGACGAGACGGCGGGAAAAACGCTAGAGGAATTGGAACAAGAAGTTCTACGCAGCACCTCAACGTCAAACGCTGCATCCGGTGAAGAGAACGAAGCACTTTTGCAACAGTACTCCTTTTCTGGTAAGCGAAAATGAAAAAGAATATGTACTGTCGTCAACTACCACGACCAATTCGGCGAAACGGAAATGAAAGAGTGCTGCGATGGTACTGTCGTCGACTACAACCAATTCGCTGAAACAGAACTGAATGCTGCAACATCGCACTCGGAAATGCATGCAGTAATAAGTTGCTACAACATCAGCTCAATCACAGTGATGCACAGAAAAAATACAATAGGAATATTAGAGATATTGTACTTGTAGTTGTTCATTTTCATGATAAATACTTCTTGTGACGACCTCACTGAGGACGTCCTCCACCTCCACACAAAGAGAAACTCAAAGAACTACACAGTTCCCTTTGTCATTAGAATCTGACGCTTTCACTTTTACAGCACTCTGATCATATTGTATTATTATTTTCGTTCTCGATCACGGTCATTGTCATTCGCTGTTTATTTGCGATAATTGAATCGCGCCGGACTTCAAGACTTGGTTAGTTTTTTACTTTACTTGGTCTTGTTGAGTAAGTATCTATAAGTAGGATGACAGAATCTTATGAATGTCACAATCGCATTACGACGTTGTGCATAGCTTGAGGCATCTTCTGAGGAGGCGAGGATCTTTGAACGAAGGTCTGAAGCAGCTCGAGAATTGACATTTTTGTTGTCTGGCAGTAGAGTCGGAGACTTGTCGCATTGCCGGGTGAAGTCTTGCAATCCAAATTCAAGGAACTGCAACACCAACGAATTTCCTATGTGCACGTGAAGTTTTTCATGAAAATGAGAGAAGTGCGTCCACCTCCACTCCTGTTCACCTCTGGTGCACATCTCAAAAATCAGCCACGTCTCTGAAATCTTCACCTACGTGTACATCTTCTTCATGACATGTACACCTTCTTCAGTCATGCACGCTACTCGTCCTTCTCCTCCTATGCCTCATATGCCTGGCGGGGTCGATGACGGTCCGTTCCCACCTGGACGGAAGAGACGCCGTCTGATATTACTTCCTGGCGATCCTTTCGATGGGCGGGTCGAAACGTTGCACGAACTCGAGGAAATCGATTACGAAGAAGCTCTCTTCGAGCGCTTTTATGCGGAACGAGCGCGCATTCGAAAGCGGAATCTTCAGATCTCGGATCGTCGGAAGCGGAACGAGTCTCCGAATGCGAATCTTGTTCCAGGAGAGAACCGACGGCGTGAGCAGCTGGAGCTTGCTGGAGTGAGAGACGAAGCGGAGGATCGTAAGCCGCCGACCCGTGAAGACGTTGATATCGTAGGTACAGACGAAGGCCCAGAAGGGGAGCGGCCAGATCGATTGCTGGATGCTGCGCTTTTCTACGCAGAACCTCCAGTCATCTTACAACGAGAGGATGCGGTTCAGAAAAAGGGACCGCTTTCGTATGGCAATGCCGGTGTCGAAAGCGGCACCGGGTCCAAGGCTCCAGATGTTCGACAGAAGGAGAGGACTGCTGGTGTCGCGACGTCCCCGACTTCTGCTGTCGATGCTGACGACGGCACGAGTCCCAGTCGCTGGTCAACGTCTTCGACAGACTCATTAACGGAGGAAGACGATGATGCGTCTAGTTCGATTTCCTCGCCGAGTCGTGGTCCTCGCCGTCGGGACCACCTGACTACAGCAAGCAGACGTGATGGCGGTGCAGACGTCGAGCAGGTGGGGACCAGCGTATCCGTATCGTCTGATAGTTCGATTTCCTCGCGAGCAGACTCGATTTTCAGCGAGAATTCTCTAGAATTGGACGTCGAAAGTCCATCACGCCGCAAACGAGCTTTGAATCTGACAGGACGTTTTAGGCACACGCACGCGCGTCTACGCCGTCGCATTTGGGGACCGTTCGTCTGGGATGTTAGTGGCGGGGCTGGAAGTTATGGAAACGATGATGATCAAGATCATGATGAGAATTTTCAATCCGCATCAGGTGTAGACGCCGAGGCGAATCCGCAAAAGAGAAGAGCTACGCGGCGTCCAGCACGGCGCGGCATGGAGCATTTGCGCAGACTGCATCATTTTTTGCGGACCTTGTCGATTTCGCAGAAGGAGCGCTTGCTTTCGACGTTGTCACAGCGAATACTGGACCCGCTCGTAGCCGATTTTCGCGATGTCCTTGTCCCCGAATTCGGTGAGAACCGATTTTTCTCGGTTCGTGTATTCAATCGAACTGCGCTAGTACAGGATTGCAGCAATGAGGTGGAGAGTAGACTCGACATGGCGAGGGCTGAAAGTCTCGGAGTCATGACGATGGAGGCTCAAAGCCTTGGCGTTGGCCCGGAATCTCTGTTACGGCTGCTTTAATGAAAAATACTAGTTCATTTGATTTTATTTGATGGTGGCTTTGTATTTGTTGAGAAACTATAATTGGTATTGATATTGAAGTTCTTGATGTATAATTTGGCTATGTATGTGGCCACTTTTCGATTCCTGGAATACAATACTGTCGGACCTCGTCACTTTGCTGGTCAAAAATCGCTTCAATGTTCCGACAGTAACATTGGAAGGAACCCGAGAAGTGGGATCCCATTTTTTGCGGAGTCTACTCGTGTTGCGGTGTTTCCAATTTTTTGCTTTTGTCGGCTCAGGTCTTTCCTGATGCTGAGTACGAAAAAGCCTAGCTGCTCGGGGCGTAATAATTGTTACGCCCCGCTGCTCTGTGATTTTTTAGTGCAGCAAATTTGTCGGCGTGTAATAATTATTACGCCCTGAAGTTATAGGAATTTTGGCAACGATTCCGACAGTAGCAAACCGACAGAATTGAAAAGTGGCCACATACAGGCTAGCAAACACATGGATATGGTTATGGACTTGGAGAAATCTAATTCTAAACACAAAAGGTGCACTGGCGGAACTAGTAAGCGCTACCTGTGAGGTTGCCGAAGAGCCGAACGAATTCCAGAGAATTTTGATAGACGCACTTGATACTAGCTCGACCAGGACTAGTGGTTCCAAAATCGCGGTCTCAAGCTGCTCTTCGAGCGACGATGACTCTGTTCTGCTTGGGGACCTGTCTTCGGAAGGATCCTCGGTTGTGTACAGCGATGAGGAGCCTTTGGGCGACAGCAGTACGAAAGGTGCTAGCTACGGAGCAACGGACGCAAAAAGCACAACACCAAAACTTCGGTTAGCTGGGTTGGCTGTTGAGCAAAGTGAGAGGCTTCTCGCGCTTCAGGAGGCAGAGTTGACTGCTCTGCGGAACGTAGCGATCGCCGGACAGGACGAAGACGAGGAAACCGCTGACCGGCTGTGGGAATCAGCGAAAAGGAGAGCACGACGGCGCATTGTGCGACACGTTTCGAGCACGCTTCTGACGCTAGCAGAAGTAGCATTTTCAGTGGAGATTTGGGATTTATTCTTCACAAGACCACAAGCCCAACATCTTCATCAAGGAGATAGAACTAGAAGGAGGATGACTGGAAGCAGGATGGCTGCGGCGAGTGCAGGACCGAACAACACGGAGACGGGCTCCCAGTCACACTCAGATTCCTCGACTAACACGAATGCAGCGGTGTCATTTTTCTCGAAGTTATGTGTCTGTCTGCGTGTCAACGTACCTAGATTGCACTGGTGGATTTTGCGCATATTGGCGCATGCACCGCACAGCAAACAAAGCCGTTGCATCGGAGTGCCGATGAGTACAGCGAAGTTTCTGCTCTTCAAGATGTGGCGACAGACGGTTATGCTGCTCACGCGGAGGCACATCCAGGTAGTCCCAGACGGCGAAGAGAGAGACGTCATACTAACGCCGGCTGCAGAACTTGAAATAAAGGGTGAGAGTAAGAGAATTTTTACGAATCAAAATGAAGAAGTAGAAGAAGGACGAGGACAAGTAGCAGGTGGACCTCAAATACTACGAAGAACTACCGCACGCTTGTGTCCCGATCTCCTGGGAGAAGGTCAGCTGAAAATCGTGGTGCTGAAGAATCCGATTCTTGTTTCGAAAAAACTGCAGCTAGGTACCCTTCCTAGTCTTCTTTCACCAGTTTTCCCAACAAAGAATCTGCTTTCTGTGAGTGGAGACTATGATGTAATTGTCAACCACGACGAAGACCCTGAAAACAAGTTTAAGCATCACTCTGGCGACACCGACGAGGGACAGGTGACGCTCTTTGGATTAGCGGATGAAATACAGGCGTCGTCAGTGGTCGCAATCGGTGAGCGGGATATGGATAGCAGAATGGCAGACATCATCGAACGGAACGCTTTAGACGGTACAGGTCGAGAGCCTCTACATCAACAACGAGGGGTGCATACTGCTTCTGCATTTAGTCTAAATGATAACGCCAACATGACTGGAGGTGTAAGCGGAGATGTCGAGAAAGCGGCTCGTCGCCAAACTCGTGAAGTGCAGTCCTTTCAGGACAAGCTCTTGCTGAAAAATCTGATCGCGGTTAATCTCAAGCGGCGCTTGCTTGTTTCCTGCGATCTGCGCGCTGGCGACTTAGAGTACGGTCTGAGTCTTTTAACGCGGTTTTACGACGACTGTCTGCGTCACGAGATGCTTGCGTGCGGTACAGATGCTGCTGTTGTCCAGGATTTTTCCGATCAGGCCGATCATTCTAAATTTGCGAACGCTACCGCAGGACAACGCCTTGAAGAACAGCACGTAAGCGTAAGGCGTGAAAGCAGTAGCACGGAACAAGTATTAAGGCAAAAACTTCGTGACGAGCGTAACGACACATTGCAACAACTACTGGATTTTGAGCGTACGATCTTCACTCCCGCAATAATGCGACTAGTCTTGCAAATTTTGGACATTATGTCGCAAGAAGGACCGCTCTTTGGCGTGATCTACCCCAACTCCCTCGTAGAGGGAGTGCCACAGGGAGATATCGCCAGAGGAGGCACTGAGGATCCGCTGCAACACGATGACGACGCGGTGCTTGGAGACCTGTCCTTTGTTGCGAAAAGCGAGAATGGGAATGCTGGAGGACGAGGGGACGAATCGGTCGATCCGTTTCAGATGAACTTCGAAAGCGCAAAGCCAAGTCGTCTGAAGAAACGAGGTGCAGACAAGTTGTACAGGAAGCTCGCAGGAGAAATGGCGCAGCAACAAGGCGTAACTACTCCGCAGCCGAACTTTGAGTTCGATTTTCAAGCCGGAAAGGGCGGAAAATTTCCGCCAGGAGGAGTGCTCGCTGATGGTGAGCGAAGGCCTGCGGCACGGCTTTTGCAAGGCGGTATCGATGAAAGGATTGCGGACGGGATGCGAATCCAAAAAGGACTGGGATTCAAAGGAGGGAAAGGCAAGAAACAGGGCTTGAAAGCTTCCAGAAAGACGGGAAAAGGCTCACCTCGGGACTTTTTATCTGGAGATGAACAGCACATGCGAGCAGCTAAAAAGGGGAAAATGCAAGGCCAGAAGGGTAAAAAAGCATCAAGTCCGACCCTGAGCAGGCAGAAGAAAGGGAAAAAGGGCGTCATTATGCACGAAGGCAGCCATACTATGATGCAAGCGGATTCGCCTGGCGATATTAATGCGACAAATGAAGTGGTCGTTGAAGATAGTCCGACGAGAGCAGATTCGTATTCTCCCCGAGACGTCGCAGACAATGGTCCGCCAAGCGTCACGGATTTACCGAGTCCGCCAGTCAAGGACGAAACTCAAGAGACGCAAGACGATTCGACCAAGCAGCTAAGGGAGACTGATGTCCCTGTCCCTCTTCCGGATGCTCACAAAGACAAGAATATTAAGATCGATGTTGCATCAGCCCCTTCTGTGTCTGGGTCTGCTGCTGTAGCAGAAGAGCAG